CAGTCTTTCCTTCACATATTTGGGTGCTCCTGTGTTAGGTGCATAGATATTTATGAGTGTTATATCTTCTTGATCAATTGATCCTTTTACTACAATATAGTGTCCTTCTTTGTCTCTTCAAACAGTTTTTGTTTGAAAGCCTATTTTGTCAGAAATTAGTATCATGACTCCAGCTCTTTTTTGCATGGAAAACTTTTTTCCAACCCTTCGCTTTCAGTCTATGTATGTCTTTATCCATGAGGTGGATTTCCTGTAGGCAACAGATAGAGGGTTTCTGTTTTTTTATCCATTCACCCAGTCACTTGATTGGAGAATTTAATCCATTAACACTCAAATGTTATTATCGATGTTACCAGACCTGTCCCAACGTTTAAGTTGGCCATTGTCTTGGTTGCCTTTTATTCCTTTATTTATGGCTGTTCATTCTTTAGTTTACCTGGAACAGTACTTTCTTCAGCATTTCTTGAAGAGCTGGTCTGGTGTTGGCAAATTATTTCAGGTTTTGTTTGTCTGAGAAGATTTTAATCTTTTTTTTCCCATATGAAAGATACTCTTGCAAAATATAATCATCTTGGTTGAACTTGTTTCTCTTTACACTTTCAATAGTCTTCCCATTGTTTCCTTGCTTACATTGTTTCCGTTGAGAGGTCCAGTGTTAGCCTGATGGGATGACCTTTGTAAGTCACTTGTTGTTTCTCTCTTGCCAGTTTTAGTACCTTGTCTTTATCTGCGGTCTTTGCCAGTTTGGCTAAGATGTGCCTTAGGGGAAGATCCTCTGGGTTGAATCTATTTGGGGTCCTTTGTATTTCTTGGGTCTGGATGTTTTAGTGCCTCTCTAGGTTTGGAAAGTTTTCTTCCAAGATTTCATGGAATAGATTATCAATGCCCTTATGAGTCTCTTCACCTTCTGGGATACCAGTTATACAGATGTTTGGATGTTTGATGGTATCTAGTATTTCCCATATATTATTCTCACTTTTTTTGAGGGGGGGCAATTTTCAGTCTTCATACTGCCTCAGTGTCCCTTATGCCAGGGATCTGAGGATGGAAGTGGGGTCTGCTGTAGAGCTGGGGGTGTCCTGGCTGACAGAGATAGAGGGTTGCTGGGGTTCGGGGGGCTGGAGCTGGAGCTGGGCAGGGGACCCTGCCTCAGTGTCCCTTAGACCAGGGGCCTGGAGATGGAAGTGGGATCTGCTCAAGATGAGTACTTTTGACAGGGTCTTGCTCTATCATAATCTTCCTGCCCAGCTTCCCAATTACATAGTATTACATGTCCACACAACATGCCTGGTGTGTTCAACTTGCTCTGGGAACCTAACTCATGCTTCCCATGTGGCTGACAGCCTCCCAAGTGGTGGTGCTATATATGTGCCACCATGGCCAGACATGAGTGTGATGTTTTATGTACATTTTAGCAGATTTTTTTTACTACATGAGAGATGTTTGCCTTCTTTTATTATTGTATGATGTTTTGTCATTTAAATATGGGCATAACTTTATTAAACAGGCTTCTGCATCTATTTACATGGTCAGGTAGTTTGGCTTCCTTTCCTTCACTAGATATGCGTATGTTATATATATACATACAACTAGATTTGATCTTCTATGGGTTATTAAGGATGTTTATATTTAAATTTGTGAGAGACTGCCCTTGAGATTTTCTTGTCAGATGCAAGGTAAAATTGGTCTCATAAAATGAGGAGGGACCCACTTCTCACTTCAGGTCTACCCTCCACTTTTTACTCAGCACTTCATGTGCTGTTGGAAGACACTTTCACCAGATCACTGCCACCAGCCTTAAAGTTATCCCTGTTCATCACATACTCTGTCTGGTTCGAAATGTCACTGCTCTTCTTTGACCCTGGCTTTCTTGCTTACAGATCAAAAGAGTGAAGTGACGTCCACCGTTCCTGCCAGCTCCATGACTGTCTCCACACCCCGTTAACCTGTGCTGTTCATTGCAGGGCACAACCGTAATAACATCTCTGACATCTGTACTGCACGATGACAAAGAATTCCCTAAACCAGAAGTCTTTGACCCTGGTCACTTCCTGGATGAGAGTGGCAACTTTAAGAAAAGTGACTACTTTGTGCCTTTCTCGACAGGTAATAGAAATTCATCTCCATGTGCACATCAAGGGGCAAGGTAACTTTATGGGACCATCTGGACCTGGGGCTGCAGACCTGCTCCTTGTCCATGATCATGGGCACCACTCTCAATGCCTGCACATGGAGCTGCTCATGAGACATTCTCATTGTTGGGTCAGACTAGTGGGAATTTAGAATGGACCCAGTTGCTCCAAACTGAGAAAGCTAGAGGACAGGTTGATTGGGTGCTGCCTCTAGTTGTATCACCGAGCTACTCAGAACATTCCTGGAAGGTGACCTTACCTGTCCTTGTCTGCCCTGAGAAACTCTATAACTTTATCTTCTGTGTGGTGCCCTCTCTCTCCAGACTGTAGTCTGGGAGCACAAGTATTCATAAGCACAGAATAGGTACCCAGAGTCTTCGTTTTTAACTAGCATAAAAAATACATATAACATATATATTATATTGGGTTCTTGGAAAAGACATGACACATTTTTGCATAAGAAAGCTTAGAAAAATGCATCGTGACTTTCTGACAACCACATATATAGATATATAGATATAGATATTCTTAGAACAAAAATTGAAGGGGCAGGGCCAGCAGGTGACATGTTGGTTAATGTGCTGGACACCCACATGGGTGACTGTGGTTTAAGAAGTGCCAGACCCAGTGACTCGAAAATCACGTCAGGCATGTGTATGTGCATGCCCGAAATCCTGAGAGTAACATGGAGGAAAAGGGATTGCAACTGGCCATTCCCTTTGGGGAATGATTTCTCACTGTCCTTCTTTCTGTCTCTCTCTGACAAACGTAAAGACATAAAAAATAATAATAATAATAATAATAATCATGGAACCAGCAGATGGTATAATAGTTAAGTTGCTGGACTCCCACATTGTTGACCGCAGTTTGAGTCCTGGACCCAGCAGCTTAAACCTCACACCAACGTTGTGTGTGTGTGTGTGTGTGTGTGTGTGTATGTACCCAAAATCCTGAGAGGAGAATAGAAGAGAAGGGATTGTGGCATGGCCATCCCCCCTAGGGGATAATTTCTCACTTTCTGTCTCTGTCTGTCTCTTCTGTGAGTGCTCAAGCCCTATAGCGAAAATCTCTCCAAAAAAAAAAAAAATCCAAAAATCGAAGGGGCATAACATAATGTAATGTTCTTTGTTGAAGCTGTCTTAGTGAAGATGGTGATAGCCTTGATTTGTCACACACTGCATTTGTGCTTTAAACAACCATATTATACCCAACAAAGATATACAAATGAATGCAAATACATTATAAATTTTAAAATATTTTAATAAGAATTTTCAATAATACAATTTTTGAAGAATTATTTATTTCATTTTATTTATTATTTTTAAATTTGCTATAGGGCACATGTGCTCACCAGAGAAAAACAGACAGAGAGAAAGAAAAAGTGAGAAAGTAAACTGCCAGGACCAGGACTTAAACTTCGGTCGGCCTTATGGGAGTCCAGTGCCTTAACCACTATGCCACCTGCTGGCTCCAATACAATGTTTTTAAATATCTTTAAATAAATGTTTGCATTGCAATAGAAAAAATTAAAAACATTCTGATGAAAGACCCTTGCTTTTGTGGTGTGCATAACAGTTTCATTTTTAGAAATGAGATCACACACCATACTGCACATACTCCACAGCAGTCTGCTTTTCTGTGTTTAATATTAGAATATTTTCAAGGACCCCATCCCCCCAAACAAACAAACAAACAAAACATACTGTTCGAGAGTATCTATCATTGGGACAAGCAGATGGCATAATGGTTACATTGCTGGACTCCCAAACGGTCAACCATGGTTCAAGTCCCAAGCCTGGCGGCTTGCTTTCTCACTTTCCCTCTCTCTCTCTTTCACTCAGTCCCTCTCTGGTCAAATTCAAATAAAAAATAAAGTAAAATAGAATAATTTTTTTAAAAAAGTATCTCTCCTCTGTGCTAATTTTCAGGAAAACGCATTTGTGTTGGAGAAGGCCTGGCCCGCCTGGAGCTGTTCTTATTCCTGACCACCATTTTACAGAACTTTAACCTGAAATCTGTGGTTGACCTGAACGACCTCGACTGCACCCCAGTTGCCAATGGGTTTGCTTCTTTGCCCCCTCCGTACAAGCTCTGCTTCGTTCCTGTGTGAGGAAAGCCAGAGCAACAGCTGCTGCTGGGCTGTCCTCCACACGTCCCCACCTCTGAGCATTGTCCACCCCTTCCCACTGTCAGGAATGTCTTCTCTGACCCCTCCTCTCATCCCCCATTGCCTCACAGTGAGCGCCCAGCCTCCACTAAGGAGTCTCCTGAGTTTTCACAAATGCATACTTCCTATTCTTCATACTCCGTAATACTTGTTAAATTGGCCGCCAAGTATTTTAACACTTCCTGTGTTAGTACTGTGGTATCACT